CAAGCAGCGGAAGGTGGAAGCCTAAAGGCGCAAAACAGTCTAGGGATATGTTATGAGAATGGGAACGGTGTAGAAAAGGATTTGAGCAAGGCATTCGAATGGTACTCAAAAAGCGGAGAAGTATATTTTGTATGTGGACAATATAACGTAGGTCGACTTTATGATAGCGGTAAAGGGGTTGACCGAGACACAAAGAAAGCTTTCGAATGGTTCTCGAAATCGACAGAGATGGGTTATGAGTATGGATACCTTGAATTGGGTGAGAGGTTTTATTATGGATTTGGATCAAAAGCTGACACCATAAAGGCGGTTTACTGGTTGGAAAGAGCCAAAAATGAAGAAATAACCCGGACCCAAGCGGAATTCATGCTTGAAGTAATCTTTGAACGAATGACCTTAGTTTAAAATTACCTTAGATTATTTATTCGAAATTCATCATGATTGGTTGTCTGTGATTCGTCTCTTCATTCCTATCATTTTTTTTTTTTTTGGACAGAAAAATTATTATTCTTGAACAGTTCGGCTCGTTAACATTGTGTAATGAAAATACGCGTGGTTTGTGTCGCAGTACCTAGCGGTTCCCTGATTGGATCTGCCTTTTTGTGATAAATTTGTGTACGCCCGTATTATCAACGATTTACACTCTTTTCTTCATAAGTGCGTGCAAAAAGAAAAAAAAAAAAGAAAAGAGAAAAACAGACCACAACATGGTACCTGATAATGTTAGCGAACCCAATTCCAATCTTACCATCGAAATTAACGAAGACGACAAATTCATAAAAAACCTATTCAATTACTTCCTGGATCAATTCAATATTCAACACCAATCGAGCGATGTAGCTACCTTAGTAAAAATTTATATCAGAAAATCCAAAAGGAATTTCACCGAATTGTTCCATCAAATCATTCGAAGCAGTTATTATCCCTATATTACGAGCCTGGTAGGATTTTTCTACCGTTTTGGAATTGGCACATTAATTGATTACAAGATGGCATTCGAAATGTTTTCGATGGCAGCCAACGAGAACACGGACATCAGGCAAAAATTTAGAGACAATAATTCCTCGCCGGTGAACATGCACACAGCATCAAACAAGATTTTGGGTATCGTGTTCCTTGGATATTTACATTTGTATGGCATAGGAGTGGAAAAGGACCTCCGGAAATCATTTCAGCTGTTCTTGAGGGCTACCAAAGAGGGATCAAGTTTAGCAGAATCTTGCCTGGGATATTGTTACTCTGAAGGATACGGCGTAGAGAAAGATGAGTTAAAGGCGTTTGAATGCTTCCAAAGATCTACGGAAAAGGGATGCATAGTAGGCCTTTACGATGTTGCATATAGTTATCTCAAAGGTCTGGGCACCCCAAAAGACGAAGTGAAGGGCTTCAAGTTACTCTTGCAGGCGGCAGGGAGCGGAAGTTTGAATGCCCAAAATGAACTGGGAATATGTTACGAGAATGGAAGCGGGGTATTAAAGGATTCGGACAAAGCATTCGAATGGTATTTGCAATCCGCGGAGAACGGATGTAGCGTTGGTTCATATAATGTGGGATGTTTGTATTACAACGGTACAGGTATTTGCCAGAATAAAAAGAAGGCTTTTGAGAGGTTCCTAAAGTCAGCCGAAAATGATTATGAATATGGGCAGCTCGATGTTGGAAGGTCTTACAAAAATGGCATAGGAACAAGAAAAGACATTATAAAAGCTATCTACTATTTGGAAAAGGCAAAAACCAAGGAAAAAACGGAGACGGATGCAAAAGAAGCGCTGGAGGGAATTGCTGATCGGATAGTCATAGATTGAGTCCAAGTTTTTGACCGGAATCGAAGTCCTAATTCTCTTTCCGATTTAATTACTGTACAACATTCCAAGAGTCCATTCTAAATATAAAAGTTTATCATTCATCTTTTTCAGCATCGATTGTTATATATTTGTAAAACTATTTTCTTTTTTTTATGTATGTTCTTGCCGAAAGCAATTCGAGTTTTAAAACTCACTCTCATTCTTGTAAAAAATTCAAAATAAAAACGTGATGGAAGATCCATCGGCCTCTTATTACTGTACTAGTTTGGAATCAACATTTTGTTAGCTAAAAATGAAAATGATGACATGCGTATCCTGAGAAGGTTAATCAAAAAGTAAATTGAGACCAGCTGCGGTGAAGCGTCGCAAAAGTTCATTATCATGTTAATGACCTCATATTCCAAGAATTCCTTCGGTTTTTTCTTCGTAGATAAACCTACTTCCCTTTCAATCTAGGATTCGCAGTAGATAAGGACATGGAAAATCGGAAAAAGGTCAATCTTTTACGCAAAGGAATAAAAACCATACTGTATAAGGTAGGATTGGATGTCGAAAACAGATCGTCAAATTGACAATCTATCTTTCCTTGATTTACATTTCATCAATGTTTTGAACGCAGTTCTTTCGAACACGTCCACGACGATGCTCTCAAGTTTAGCATTGCTACACATTTTTTGCTTTGTTGATACACCTACCACCTATCATGTGCACGACATGAAAGTCGTAAAATCAAAAATCAAGAAACAAACAAGTTCTAGGCATTCTTGTAAATATGCATGTACCCCGTAAGGGAATAAGGCAATTTAAAGAATCAATTTACTCGTCGCGAATAATTTCGGCCATGGCGTAATATATACACGTGATACGCGCGAGATGAAAATCGGTGTACAATATGCTGTACATGCATAGTAATACTTAGTAATACTGTACATAAAAAAAAAAAAGACACCCGTTCTCCTCACCTTAAGCTTTTTCCTCCTATTGTACCACGCCTTCTTTGCCGAGCTTTTATATAAACTGTGTATTCCACTTTCTTTCATTTTACAAATATAAGGTCGAGAATCTTGAAATAGCTCATAGGTGTGTGAATATTCATTCAATAACCCTTTTATTTGGAAAAATCTAGTAGCAAGGCTGCCTTTTTGAATTCACTCTTTTAAAATTCACCCAGTATTTTTGTACCATACAAGAAAGAAAGACTTTGTTATTATTATTATTATTTATTTAACTTAGGTAGGGTAGTCTTGTGTAGGTCAGGTTTTTTCTTTTTTTTTTTCCTCAATAGCAAGACGATGCTAAGAATTTCGCGCACCACCTAATTAATTAGACATAGATATAAAATAGAAGCAATAAATTATTTATTTATTGCTTGTATAGATAGAATTTTAATTTTTCATTGAAATGGTAGACTTAAGGATAATATATAAAGTATTTTCGGTAAAACTCAAAATGATGTCATCAGTAAAAAATAAAAAGAGGGCCAGCAAAAGATTCAGCAATCCAATTAGATTAGAATCAAATAACAAAGACAGACGAGATCAAATAGGTGGCGATATTTCGAAAAGGGGTAAGAGCTTTCACGGGAGATATTTTTGTTGTTTTCTGAAATTGAAAGTACCGTTGGAATCCATAATAACGAAATCTTTTATGAAATAGCATCCGTTCCTCCACGATTACCATCGCAAACGACTAAAGATCCACCAACACTGCCTTTAATTTGTAGCCAGCTTCATTCGATCAGTCTTGATCCATTCACCACCAAAGATTACGATGAACAACAACAAAAACAACAACAGCGACCGCTTTCAATGCCAATAACACAATCACCAGCAATACATTCATCACAATCTTCTAAAAGATCAAGTGTTCCCGCGTCAACATCAACCCTCATTGACGTTGGTAATACCACCAACGATGCTGACGGCAATAATAACGACAATAATAATAATAGTAATAACAATAGCAGTAACAATAGCAACATCAATAACAATAGCAATATCAATATCAATAACAATAGCAACAATAATAATAATAGTGGTACATATTCCATTTCAATCGTGAATGCATCTCGATCTGTTCCCTCTTTAAAGCTGGTCCGAGATGTAGACGTACCATCTCCGCCTACACCTACTCTAAAGAAACTTCAATTCTCATCAACCATCCTCATGCACGATACGTGGACTCGCGAGGATTACGACCGTCGTGGGGATCATTCCACATGTAATAAGCTTACACCATTGCTGGCTCAAAGGATTAAGCGAGAACTAAATGAATACAAGATGGCAGAGATGGAAGTCCATGAGGATAGTAAAAAGAACACTCATTTCTTTGCTTAGATATGCAATGAATCCGAACAATTTTTATTATTTTAATTATTATTTTTTTTTCTTCTGATACACCGTGATGGGTTAAAAAAAAAAAAAAAAAAAAAAAAAAAAAAGCGAGAGAATTGTATTCATAGATATACACATATATTACAACATATATACATACATACATACACAATTTTTCCTATAAAACCATCCATATACACAGTTTTCATATAAACCAATATATACACGTACATATAGTTTTCCGTATAAACGATTCACTCTATAATTACCATTGACATACAATATATCATTTGAATGAGTGTTGTTATTTAATGAACGATGTATATCGAGGTGCTTCTGCACAGATCTGACGTTTATAAAGGAAACGCACTTATGCGCGTTATTTGAGTTTGATAAATCAGATTACTTCATCCGTAACGAGTGAGTCTGTATTCATCAATGTGACTTGTCGAAGGAATAAGTGATCTGTTTAACTTTTATGCTCGTTTATTCATGCATGTCACGCAAATTTGGGCAAGAATGTCATTGTTATGTGATACCTAACATCTTACGTACGTACATGCGCGACAATATCGTACATGCAAGGACAATGAGTTAATATTATTAAAACTACTCATTATGTTCAATGACGGCATGTCTACTGTTAAATTGCGTTTTTCTTAAACTAGCTCTATAAGGTGATATTAGAATTAAGATGAACGAAAATTCGAGTGTACCGCATTCCCTTCCAAATTATGATATAGATTACTTAATTTCAAGGGAACTAAGATGTTGGCAAATTTTGTGCGATCGATAATACCCGAGATACACAAGAAATAGCGTCACGTGAAAATTAACAAATTGCATTTTTTATCAAACTTTGCGAACCGCAAATATTTTTATGATTATTATGATTATATCAAAGAAACATAGTATAGCTATTATATATATGTTTATGTATGTATATGTTCATCATTATATTTATAGATATAAGAGATGTCATCAAACATCATTTAGTGACGAGAAAATAAAACGCGTTCTAATTTCCATGCATTTTTTTTTTTCTAATTCTTGGTTCACGGAGAACTAACTTCACGACTTTCTTGTACCAATGCACAGCATCCACAACACCAGTGTGTAAGGAAGTCTTCACCAGCTGAACCCTATTCATTTAATACGGCATATAGCAAAAGATGATTTGAATATAAGAGAAGGAAAAATCGAAAATGATTATTGCAACCGTGGAAGTTCACTTACCACAATGTTATATCTCGCACGTATCTCACCGCGGCCCAGGAATCCCATGACACAAGGTCCAACAAAGGACGCGACTACGCAGAAGATTAATGCATGTGTGGTGCAACTTCCGGGATCATTAGCCACTTTTGATTTCGTTTCTCCCTATGATTAAGAAAAAATGGGTGAATTAAATTAATCGAAGGATGCATGCATAAGACACTACAATGTCAGTTCTTACATATGTAATGCAAGGACAACACCAGGTCTTTAAAGCTATAGATTAAGCGAACGGATTAATGAAAGCGGATTAAACAAAAAAAACGATTTTTCTTGGCACATGAAAGAAAAACTTACAGAGTCCTACATCCGCAAAACAATCAAACAATCCAAATTTCCAACCGCGAGGTTGAGCCCCGTATGTAACTGACTCTTGGACTATCACGGTCTGTCCTCCTTGCATTTGCTGAGTACCCTGGTAAACCTGTGTTTGTTGAACGTAGGTAGTTTGTGCCATTTTATTTACTATATTAGATAATTGACTTTGTTTTATGTGCCGACGGGAGAGTGAGTTTTGAGTAAATTGTTTGGAAAGGAAAAAATTCTGATGAGCTTATATAAAATCATGAAATCATTAAACTCCGTGTAAGGGTTTTGTCGCGTCATCTTTTCACTGCAAATACTGAATTCATAGGATTCATTCTTTAAATGTTACAATAAATGCATGTAATGTGGGCAGCATGATTTAAGCGTGAAAGGCGTTCTCATTGTGAAATAGAAAATTCAGAGATTGTGTGCATAAATATCTCACACAATCAATGACAAATGTTGCGCTAATAAAATAGGAAAACAGGTTATTGAAAGAGTTAAATAATAATATAAACAACTGCTGCGACTCATCGTCTTTGTGATCGTAACAACGAAGGGGTCATACATTAATTGATTTGGACAAGATTATAAAAGAGTTGCGTCTAACGACATATAGTATGTATGTCACACACCTAATCGTTTCGTTTGCCAATAGTGTTTTCTACCGATGGAGCCTGCGAAAAATTTGCCAACTAAACAAACATTCATCGTCCATTCATATTTCTTGACTTTATGCACCTATTCAAGCCAAGACTTTCAAATTAAGATGTCAAGAATCTGATTTAGAAAATTTGTCTCCGAAAGAACTGTATTCGTGAAATTGCACTAATCTATTACGGGTTTTTTTTTTATACAGTAATTAAAAAATTTTACAGTTTTGGATTTGTACGCATGTACAGGCATTCCCGATTTAAGTTAGCTTTCCAGTGATGATAATTAAAATTTCTGAATGGTGTGACATTTTCTTTACAAGTAAGATTTTGTGGTACATGATCTAAATCACTTATCAAAATATACTCTCGATTACTGTATATTCTGAAACAAAAATTGATTTTTTCGATCACATAGTGATACAGGTAATAAAAAAAAAAATTATATACCGTAATAATCTTCACACTCACAAATTTATTACAAACTACCTAATATTGTGCATGTCATAAACATAAATTATGCACAATATGTGCGAATTAAAGTTAATGCTATGCATTTTAATCTTTTTTTTAATATTATTATATTATTAAAAATTGAATTAATGAATTTATACAAATATTTGTTAATCGATAAAATTTTATTATGAAACGAAAGTTGCGATAACCAAATATTGACAAATTTATAAATTTTTCTTTAAAAAATCGATTTATGAAATTAAACCATCAAATGTACTGTATATCTAGCATAATGAATTATAGTAGAAATGGAAAATTGTTGCCTTTCAGTCCGATATAAAATTCTTGAAACTGGTTTTATTATGGAGTTGTGCTAAAGGACATGAATGGTATATCCCTCTCAATAGAATAAAAAACCAAGGTGCATGATGTTTCGTTATTGCTCAAAATATAAACGCGAAAATTTGTGTCGAAATTTATATCTTGAACCCCCATCTAAGATACGTCAACCTGAATTTCTCAAAACTCCAGAACATCAAAGTGGTTTAGATCTTGATTTTATTATCCAGAATACGGATTTGCGATTGAAGTGCAAGGTGTGCAACACGACCATTATATAGAATTCTTTCATAGATGAGAATCAAGTGATTTCATTAAACAGCAGGCACGGCCAACTTAAGAAGGAATTATGTGGATCGTTTTGAAGACCCAAATATATTATTTTTCTTGATCATAAAGTTTAAGTGAAAGTGAGATTATACCGATACATGTGAATTGCAATCTATACAGTAAATTTATAACGATAGACCTCACGGGTCAGCTTTATTACAGTAATTGCAGAAACTATACGTGAAGAAATAACGCGATCATATATAACCATGTAAAGATTGACATAATGGCTTAATTGGACAACTAATAAAAGATGATCGGGATTTCACTTATCCTTGTTGAGTTCTCCTCACCTGGATAGAAAGAACCATTTATCTTCCCCGAAATCACTACCGCGCACCCTCACTTTTGATAGCATCCATGCCGTTCCAACAGGGGGACAAAGAAGGCGTTTGGAAAAAGAGAGTAATTATTGCGGCGTACAGTATAGAGTTTGGTGTTTGTTGCAAGTGAAAGACACAAAGAGAATTCTCATCTCGGCGCCTATTTTGAAGACCATTTGTTGCAAAAGTATCCATGACCGTATAATAAGCCGGCCAACCCTGCTGATTGATCCAAACTTGATTTGGAGAAATATTAAGGACTGGGTCGAGATTTTTCACCCTACTAAGTTGCTTCTCGTATCTTCATTGGAGGCTTGCGGGAAAATAGTTTAAGCGCCTCGCGGGTAGATACGAAACCTTCAAGTCTTCTTCAGACATTCTAAAAATAATGTGGAAAGAGTAAGCTTATACTAATTACAATGGCCCGGGTAACATTATATTTACTCGTTGGATGAAGAAGTAGTATTGCTTATTTAACAAGGCGTAATTGCTGTGTTAAAGGTATTTAGGTTATATAAAGCGTGAAATTTTATTTATCATTGTTATGTTTTTACCTTTCCACAACTGTATAAGTTAGGGAGGCGACAAAGGAGGCAACATATTTGTCAATAGAGTTTGCAGAGTATGAAAATTCACCATACAGACCAGTCAGCCGAAAAATGCACAGACTGGGGGTATCGTAGCATAAGTAAACAAGGCGAGGGGTGAGAAGAACATTTCAACTTTTTTCATGATAGGAAAACCGGTTTCGAGGGGTGAATCGAATTGCATATATCATGAATTTTAATTTTTCCGATATACAGTAGATATGGGCAAACTTTACCATCACGGAATTTAGGTTCCTGATCTACATCACGTGACACATTACGAAGTTGCTAATAATCTAATTACTTGTTACAATAACTTATTAGTACTATATGTAATCCAATTTTGTTAAATAATATAAATATAGTTCTAATTTTTTTTAAGTCTTTATATAAATTTTTTTTTGTAATAAACTCTTTCTATTAATCTTTTTGTTAATTTAAAAAATAGATATTTTCAAAAAAAAATTTTTTTTTTTTAATCCCACAATCAGGTTAGCGTCATTTATTTATTAAATTATAGAGAACCATTACATGCATAAGAATACATGCAAAGTACAAATTTCCCTGATTCAACTCACCCGTCTTTAGCCAAAGCCTTTAGATGCGATTTATGGGTGTGATATATTGTTCCCCTAAAGGATAGGATTAAGATCCCGAATTTTCAATAGGATTAGCACCTGCAGATCATCTCTACAGTCATGACCATAAATCCAAATTGTGTTACCCCCCTCTTGTAAAAACTACACAAGAAGAAAAAGGAATAAAAAAGGAATTTTTTTGATAAAGAGAAAAGAAAAAAAAAGCTATCATCTATTCTAACTATCATTGAAAAGGTTATCTTAATAAATTTAAAAACTCAAGTCCCTCATAGATTCCCACTTCTTACCACCTGTGGCCAGTTAAACTGTTTAATTTCCAATGAAGTAGTCAATGTCCAAGAATGTTTAAGGGCACTTCCAAGAGAGTATTTCTTAAAACTTTACACTTGAAGACTTCTAACCAGAAAGAATGTTGATTTTTTATTGTTGATTTCTCTCTCAAGCTATGTCTTCTGGAATTATAGCTTCACTCAACCAGTGGATAGTTTCAAAATCCCTTTCTTTAACTATTTTCAAGATAGATATCAGTACTTCAACTTGTTATCAGATTGGGATAGGACCTAGACCTTGTTACTACTTCCTGTACTCAAGAAAAAATAGGGAAGAAAAAAAAGAAAATAAAAGGATAGAAACAAAAAGGTGTCACTTCTCTTCTTCTTACAACTTCAACTTGAAACCGTCCAACTCTTTCAGGAACCAATTACATTATCAGTTTGATGTTGCACGACTGGGAACACATGAGGAGTATGTGTTTTGTTTATTTTTTCTGTAACTGATATGATCAACCAATCCATGACCTTAACCAATCATCTTTCAGGAAATCCGGTATAACCAAAAAATTCAGAGTCAAACTGAAGTAGGCAAAATTCCCCAGAAAAATCAGAAAAAAGGAAGCATGCTTGAGAAAAAAGAAGTAGGAAGTCAAAGAGATAATGAAAAGACTAGAGATTTTTTTATTCTTGTTTCTCTAGATTCTTGAATCTTTTGGAAGTCTTTGAAGGATATTTTTTCTTGTCAGTTTTCTTCCTATAAAGGTGTTTTTGTCATAGACCTTTTAGGTGGGTTTTTTGTATTTAGTCGCAAAAATAAACAAGAAAGTATTTTGAAAAAGAAAAATAAAACAAGTGGAAGCTTCTGCTCGCTCGGCTGGTTATAACCAGTATTGTTTTTAAAGAAAGTGTATAGACTTTATTATCATAAAAACAAAAAATCTTTTGAGAACGTCTGTTTTTTGGATTGGCAAAAGGATCAATGGAAAGAGTTCTTATATTATTAATTAAATTATATTATTAAATTTTAATTTTATTAATTAAATAAATTATGTTATTATAGAGAAAAATAATGAATAGATAATAGAAAATTATAAGAGTAGGTATATCAAATATAAATAATATATATTTCTTGATTAACTGATTTGATAGAGTATTCTTTGTACCAGTCTGAAATTGGTCTAAATCAAAGTTTTTTTTTTTTTAAACGGGTGGCTTATACCTTGTTTATTAAGTATTTATTGGTAAGTATGTACAAATTTATTTTATACAAATTTATCACTCAGTCTACCTAATTAAACTTACTAAGGGGAATCCTACTGTGCAGCTTATTGCCAAGTACTGGTATATACTTGACTAATTTGCCAAGGCTCTACTTATCTCATAAAAATCTAATTTTGAATGAATAGATTGTGTTCCAGTTGATCCAGTGATGACTGGAGAATTTCATTATGGTGTTGATGTCTGGGATAATATTTTTGTTTGCATTTTTTTCTTTGTTTGCCACTTTTTATAGCTTCTTGTTACTACAGTAGAAGTGATATTGTGTTCCTTTTTCTATTTTGCAAATTCGTTGCACCTGTGGTTCCATCTTTCTTGGAGTGTATTGAGAAATCTGTCAATGATGTTTCTTATGATTTCCTTTTGATGTTCTGTCAGTGTATATTTTTTAATAGTTTTGATTACCTCTATTGTTAGGGTGCCTCTTATTATATAGTTTTTGACTTTTTTGGTCCAGAGGCTTGCTTGTTTTTTGAGATCTCTGTTGAGGTTGTGTTTGATAGGCTTATCAGTTTTGCTGCTCACCTCTTCATTTATAATTTGTTGTAGTTCTTTATATATGTTGATTCTATTTCTCTCACACCGCATACAGTGTATATTTGTTTTGACTTGTTGGCAGTTAAGGCATCGGTTGTCAGTGTATGTGTTTGCTGCTCTTTTGTGAAGTTTGTCCTTGGTGGGGAGTTCTAAGTTCCAGAGTCTTGCTCTGAATGATCTACTTATATGGTCGTTTTGATTTGTTATTCCTGTTGTGAGTTTGGATGGTTGTCTATTTATGAGGGATGCTTCCCACACTATGTTGTTTAATGTAAAGAAGAAATCTGTTGTGTTGAGGTTGCGGTTCAAGCTTCTCCAATTTAGGATGTGTTTTGTTCTGATTAAGTTTTTAATTGAGGTTGTGATCATATTGTCTAAGATGTGCCCAATTCCATTCCTGTGTCCATTGCAATATATTGTTTCTAATAGGTGTGCAGCTGATTTCTGATAATTTTCCTGTAAGTGTGGCTTCTTTTGCCAGAAAGTCTGCTTTGTCGTTATGTTTGTCATTGCTGTGTGCTTTGATCTTTTTCCAGGAAATATTGAGTTTTTGGGCTTTTATGATGTGGATTATCAAGTTGATAATGTTGTTGTTTCTCAGAATTCTTAAGTTGGATGGGTTAGATTGTGCCTTGTTGATCGCTCTTAGAGCTGCTTGGCTATCGCTGCAGATGGTTATTTTGCTATTGGCTGGGACTGTTGTCAAAAGTGTGAAAATTGCTATGAGTTCTGCTCTTGTAGATAATGAAAATTTGTTTATTCTCTCTTGAAAGCTTATTTCTAAGTCTTGGATTATGTGTCATTTAAATATCATGTTTTGGTTTGAATCTAAGGAACCATCTGTATAAGCTGTGATTTCTTTGAGTCTTTCAATTTTGGGACGTATTGTTGCTAGATCCTCGTATACTTGTTCTGTTGTTTCAAGATATTTTTTGATGGTTGTTTTGTGAATTATTATTTGGTCGTTAGTGATGAATGGTGGGGGGGAAGATGTGAGTATGAAAATTTGTCTTTTAGAATGTTATGTAAACTGTTAGGAGATATTCTGCTTTGTTGGCAAAGTTTTTTAGAGTGTGTGTTTTTATTTTTGAAAAAGATGCATTCCTCTTGTTTCTTTGATATATTTAGTGGACAACCTTTGCATTCCTGAAGGGGAGTGTGTAACTTGTTGGTTCTGATATAGTGTTGTAGTTTAACTATATTGTTAAATATAGTTTGTTTTCTGCCAATAATACTTGTGTTGCGATCCATTTGATATGTTAGTTTGTTATTTCTATTGCTAATTTGTGATTAACTTTTGTAATCTCTTTTGAAACTCTTCTTTCAATTAGTCTGTGAATCTTTTGGTTCTGTTGGAGTTCTTTGTATCACTTGGATATTTTTCTGTTCAGTTTTTTGTTTACTATCACTACTTCTACCTATGCTGCAAGTCCGGATCCAGTATAGTTTGTGATTTGATTCAAGAATAGAATTTTGTTAGCTACAAGTTGTTTTCTGTATTTGTTATATCATGTTGAATCTGTTATATCTTTGATGATTGTGTCTGTTTTCAATATGGTTTTGAGGTTTAGTGCAATTCCTGTATATCCGTATTGTTTAAATAAGAAGATAAGGTCATGTGTAAAATCATGTCCTTGGGGTAGGAAAGTATTTGTGAGGTGTGTGCTTGTTATAAAGTTGGTTGACCACTATTTGTTTTGTAGTTCTTGCAGGCACATGTATGTAATGTTCCCTATAATGTCTTGTTTGTTAATTCTTTTGTGCCAGTTGTTTGCATGAAGTAGTAGTTGTCTGTCTCAAAGGTGGAAGAAGCCATATTCTAGGAGATTGTATAGCATTGCATTTGGTGCTGATTTGGCCAAATTGAGTTTGTGTTTATATATGGGGTTAAGTATACTTATAATTTTGTTACAGCTTGGTTTTGTGAAAATTAAGTCAGAAAGGAGGTATGTGATCGATGGAACCCAGATCTGATTGTGGAGATATCTTATTTGTTTGTCTGTTGTCACTTTCCATTTGATTGTGTTGGTATACTTCAGTGTTTTTTCTCTGATAAGTTGTTGTTGGAAGGATTTTGATCCTTTGCCTTTGAGGTGAATTCCAAG